TTCTATAAGGTAATCCCAAAAAGGAACTACTTTGGGGCCTATGGGCCCAAAGGGTCCTAGGTACTGTTATGGGGAAGACCTCCCCAAATCATAATAGTAATTCCTAATATAGAAACCCTACATTGACCCTAAACCCTAAACCCTAAACCCTAAACCCTAAACCCTAAACTACATTCTACCATATAGGTACTTTGGACCCTTTGAGGGGTAGACCCAAAGGTTTCTCGCGAAGTCGGCGTCGAAGACCTACTTGCAGAAACTCCAGCAGACCTGCCTGGAGGCCGACGGTTTTGAAGGGGATTGTTAGGGATCCAAAAAGCACATAAGCATAAGCATTTTATGGGGATATCCCTACCTTATTGGGCTTCATTATAAGGGGATTTATATGGGATTTGAAGAGCCTCCAAAACCCCTTAATTAAGGAATATACCTTAAATCATAATAGGATCCCTAATATAGTAAACCCAATACCAAAAAGAGAGGCCTTTTTATTCCTGGGTTACTGGGTATCCTAGGTTTTGAAGGAGATTGGGGCTCCGGGTTTAGAGATTAGGGTTGACGGCTTAGGGTTTTGGGGGTTTAGGGGTTTAGGGTTTAGGGTTTAGGGTTGAGGGTTTAGAGTTTAGGGTTTAGGGGTTCAGGGTTTACGGCTTAGGGTTTGGGGGTTTGGGGGGGTTTACAACGAGGGTGTTGGGGTTTAGGGGATGAGGGGTTCGGGTTGAGGGGGTTAGGCTTCAGGGATCAGGGCGTCATACGGTTGATGGTATAAATCCTGCATGACCCATAATAAGGAATATACCATAAATCCCATAGTTCAGGGTCCTTAAGGTAATGCAGGATTTGTATCATCAACAGTAGGGGTTTTGGTGAACTCCAGAAGGGAACATGGATTCAGGACCTTCAGGATGATTGGTGCTAGGACGACCTCTACTTTACCTTAAGGGCATGGGGATAATGATGTTCCAACTTTTTTGCTTCTACTGTGGAGTTTAGGGCGGAAGCGTTCAGCGCCAACTTAGGGGTTCGGTCGTCAGGGCTTCGACGATGCTTTGGATAGCCTTTTTGTTCAGTTTTTAGTAGGGTATTCTGCGGGATTGAACTATAAGTAGGCACAACTAAGTAGGCATTGTTGTGCAGTGTTGCCCGATGCTATTATAGTATAGAGATCACCGAAACCCTACATAGTTTATGTAGAGATCTCTGCAACTCAGCCACTCAACCTCTATGTGCTTGACCGATTTGGGAGTTTCCGAACATAGTACCCTAAATAGTAGGATCCTTATAATAAGGACCCCAAAATATGCACCCCTAATTTTCGGAAACCCCCATTTGTTTGGGCGTCTTGGGTAAGCTCGCTGGAACCCCATGCCACACCTGCTGAACAAGCACGCAGCACGACGAGACGCAATTCGACTACCACACCAAAACAGAAGCAATGGCTATGTTTGACACACGCACACACACTTATGTTTTCCATCAAGAATCACAGAAACGGGATGGTACGAAGCCGAACCCAGAGATGATAACCGTAGAAGCCTTTTTGCCTGCATCATTTAGAGGGTTGCAGTTCGTGAAGCCCTATGCCATCCTTGGTAGTAAGAGCACCACATGCCTGTAGCCTACTACTCAATCTTCCAGTGCTTAATACCCCCTAATTAATGGGGGCCCTAATTCTGATCGAGAGAGTAGTTAGTCCTTAATCAGGCTACTATATTGAAAGATCCGGGTATCTCCGATCCTCAAATTCCAAATCCCCATAGTATCTAAAACCTACATCCTTATAGAACCCTTGTAAGGATGCGTCAACTAGGGTAAGTTGGGTATGGCTAGGGTAGACTTGATCCAGGCCGTTGATAGCCCAGAGCTACAAGAAAAGCAGCGTCAAGCCTTGGCAGAGCATGCTGCGAGGCCAACAGGGCTTGGGGGTGTCGGCGAGGGGGGTTAAACCAACCGTCTTCGACTTTGCCTTGGATGGTTTGGGGCTTCTTTGAGGTTGCGGGTTTTAGGATTTAGGGGTTTAGGGTTTAGGTCCCTTGATCCTTGTTCTGGGATTCGAAAGAACGGCATGGAGTTTGTCCTGGAGGCAAGCTTGTTGTCACAATTTCCTGCAGTGGGGTTGGGGTTAGGACGTCGTTTTCGGGGTTTAGACTTCACCTATAGTCTCCATTGTCCTTCCATCGTCGTCTTTTTTGGGTTGATTATGAACATGTACCTGTCTGTTGTTTAAACGTCAAAAAGCTGCAATGAGGATTCTAAGTATGGCTTCCTCACAAGACAAAAACAACCCTGAGGGTCTAAGTACCCAATCATCATATACTCTCCCAGACAGTAAGTAACCTACATAACTACTACCCTAAACCTATACAAAGTACCTCATTATTAAACCTATACAGAGTACCTCATTATCCCTAAGGGTCCTTCCCAAATCATATTCTGAATTCTTACTATAGAAACCCTACATTCTACTATATAGGTAGTTTGGATCATTCGGGTATTGGGTCCTGCTGTTGATGATATATAAATTACCCTAAACTATGGGAATTATGGTACATTCCTTATTATGGGTACTGCAGGATTTACACCATCAACCGTGTGGATTTCAGGGCAAGGCCCGCCCGGAAGATGTGCAGCAAATGCTTTCATTCCCACGAGGTACAGGGCCTCGCACTAGATGATGCGTAAGGTAGTGTTTAGGATTTCGAAATTAGGGTTAAGGGATTAAGGATGGGAGTTTAATTTATGTAGGGTTTAGGGTTTGGGATTTCGACATTAGGGTTAAGGGATTGGCGATAATTACGAGTTTAGGGTTTGGGGGTTTGGCAGATGATGAAGCCTATCCAAGACTCGGGATTGCCAAATAGATGTGTAGCACCCACCCTGCAGCGGCACAGGGATGTCGCAGCGTCAGGACAAGAATAGACATGATCTTTGGTGTAAGCCACACCCCTCGGAGGGACAAGACTGTTTTAATGTTTGGTGGTGTCATTTTGCTGATTGAGACATGCCGCCGCCGTTTCCTTTCAAGTTGCTGCCGCTGATTCCGACGCAAAACACAAAACTCTGAGCCTTGCAGGGCTTCCAGGTCGATGATGTTCACCTGATGTGGTAACTACCAATACTAGTAGCTGTCCCTAAGGGTCCGGTCCGCTTACCCACATCGTATATACTTCGGCCTCAAAGTACCTATATAGGGACTAGTTTAATTCGGGTATGGTGCATCCTTTTAAAAAATTCTTCGGGCTCCAGATTACGGCGCCTAGGTGAGCACCCGGCCGTCAAACTGATGCAGCTCCAGGGCGGACATCGACTTCACAACTACGGTTGAACCCCAGACGATTACTATTGGAGTTATGGTATATTCCTTCTTATGCAGGATTTTTAACATCAGCCGTACCCTGAGGTTTTGGTTTAATTAGGGTTTAGGCTTTAAGGGTTTCGGGTTTAGGATGGTTTAGAGTTTAGGGCCTTGGTTTTTGGGTTTAGGGTTTAGGGGCTCAGGGTGTCGGGCTTTTGGACTACGTATGACCCACATGCCGTCTATGAAGGGGCCAATTACGGATAATATTTTGCAGCGGTAGCTACGAGGACCTGGTAGGGTTTCGCATGGCTTCTATCTCTACCTGATGCCATGGTAATCTCATTGAGGTGCAGCCAACGATCCGAGGACGAGGACATAGGCTGTCAAGGGAGCAGAGTATTCCAAGAGGAAGTTAGTGACTAATTACGAACATAACCCCAAACCCAAACCCAAACCCTCTACCGAACAAAGCCAGACCTTACCTAGATTGTTGACGCTGAAGAACGTACCGCTTAATAAGCTTATATAAGGAAGTGGTATCAAGGAACCCCGATGTTGATGAGGGCTCAGGTTAAATCTTTTTCAATTAACTACAGGGCTGCTTCTTTTTGTGTAGGGGGCAACAAATAACCAAGGGTTGGGACTGAGGGTTTGAGGTCTAGGGTTTACCTCAAACCCACGTAACCTTCCTTTTCAAGGACTCACAGAATAAGTTCCTATTCAGGAACCCTAACCTAGTAGCTGAGTGGATACACTTTACACTTTTGGGGAGAATATTACCCACTATAAAACTGAAAGTGTACACTTTTTGGGGCTTAGGAACTCAGCAACTAAGCTAGAAAGGCAGGTTTCTCAGGGTCCAGGGAGAGTTTAACGTTTGGGGTTTAGGGCTCCACGCTTTGGAAAAACCCTCGGGCGAGTTCGAAAGATAGAGCGGCCTTGAGGCCTAGATCCTTACATGTTCCCCTCAGGGTCCATGTGGGGGTTTCCGAAAATAGGGGGTACCTTATTTTGGGGTCCTTATAATAAGGATCCTACTATTTAGGGTGCTATTTACATTAGGGTCCCCTATTTTCGGAAACTCCCATGTACGCAAACAGTATATACTGTGGCCTTAAAGTACTCCCTGTTGAGGTACTTTAAGGGCCAAAGCATATACTATTTGGGGCACATGGGTTCGCAGCAGGACACCTTGCAGGCGACCGTGATCGAAAAGGGCGATGGCTGCGTCGCCGCCCTCAGTGTTTCGGGGTCCTATGACAGTGGAATATTCCTTCCCCGAAGGTTCGCTTCCTGCCCGGAAGGGTCCATGTACCCATATAACTTTGGCTCCGACATAGCTAACGAGGGAGTGCCGTAAGGCCAAAGTATGTATAATATGACCACTTAACTCTCATGAAAGGTGACATATTCCTTCGGTATCAAGGAGCAGAAACATGATAGCATAGGCACGAGGCGCGACTTTCATAAAGTCCCGGAGCAATCCAAGTAATTGTGCTTTTGAGTGGAAGTGGGAGCCTTCCATCAGGGTCCTGAAGGATTTTTGTGATCCTGGTATGTGCATGCAAGTACGTGTCCGGATTTCGGAGCTAGCCTGCGGACGAGACGGGATGTTTCTGCATGCTCAGCTGCAACCCTAGCCCATTTTTTTTCTCAAAGGCCCGGTAGTAGTAGCAAATAGACCGTAGGGGCCACACAGGCAATGGCTGTAAATCCGATGCCGGAGGCAGAAGAAGGCCAGCTGCTACCCAGTCCGATTTATGTGTGTGTTTTTGCTCTCCCAGCTTGTAGTATTGAGCCCAAATTGCTATTTCCGTAGGATACCCCATTGCCGCATACAGACCTAAGCTGCCCTAAACCCGAGGTTTAGGGTCAAAAGTCCGTCCTGACCATAGAGAAGAAAGGAGGAGTGAAGGAGATACTCTGGTTTTTGGGGTAGAAGCCGACAAATAACCCTGCCAGTCTGTCGGTTGAGGGCACCATCTTCCACGAGAGTTCTGGTTGTGGTTCTCCAAACCGCTGAACCCAAAAGGAACGCATCGAACTCCCCCCAGCCGCGAAGCCACGGGGAAGTACCTAGTACTAGAGTAGGTAGCCTTTGACTTTTTTTGGGTAGTATAGTCCCTATATAATCTCGAAATACCCAAGAATGTTAACCTTTAGTTCCACATGATACCCGACAAGGAGGCCTTAACTTAGTATATTTGCTCGTATTGGGCTCAAGAGGATCTTACCTACTAATAATCTTTCAAAGGCTCTAAAACCACCTCCTAGATGAAGAAGTAAGGTTTAAAAGCACCTCCTAGATGGAGAAGTCGACAAATACTATGAGGGTTCCTCTAAGACTACAATAACCCTAAGGCTCAAAATAGCACCCAAAATAGCCTTATACAGTATGGTCTTTGGACCCAAAAGCCTTAGGCAAGTAGGAGTATCTTTCAAAGGCTCTAAATCCACTTCCTAGATGAAGAAGTAAGGTTTAAAAGCACCTCCTGGATGGAGAATAAGGTTGTGGTCGGAAGTCGGCTCGAGCGACTTCTTGCAGTTCGATTTCGGAGGGACTGCCTACGAGTCTGAGCTTAAGAGGAACCAGGCCATGAGCTGAAGAAAAAGGGGCTTTTAGGGTTTTTTGGTTTAAGTTTAGGACTTTGGGTTTAGGGTTTAGGGGTTTAGGATTTTTGGGTTTAGGGGTGTAGGACTTTGGGTTTAGGGTTTAGGGGTTTAGGATTTTTGGGGTTTAGGGGTGTAGGACGTTTGGGTTTAGGGTTCAGGACTTTGGGTTTAGGGCTTAGGGTTAAGGGTTTCGGGTCGAGAGTCGAGAGTTTAGGATGACGGTTCTGTAAGGGTTCTCGGCAGGTTATATAGCCCTAAGGCTCAAAATAGCCCAAAAGCCTTATATAGTATGGCCTTTGGGCCCAAAAGCCTTAAAATATGAGTCCTTAGAGCCTAAGGGTAAAGATTCGGGGTTTGGGGGTAGGGGCTTGGGATTTTGTTTTGTCGAAGTTATAGGTCAGTTTGCGAGAAAGGTTGAGTGGTGTGCTGCAGGGCTAAACCCTAAGCCCGAAACCCTAAAACCCTAGACCCTTCCATTGGTATACCTCCCTTTTTTTGCAAAGCCCCAGGCGAGGGCGAAGAACTTGTCCGCCATCAAGTGCATGGTTAGGACGCTTACGCCACTGGGAGGTCCCACAGAGGACTCATCGGGCTTGAGGGTAATGTGGATGGAGCATGACTTCAAGTTTTTTGGAGGCTCCCTTGGCTGTGCTGAGGGCGAGAAGCTCACACGAGGTTTCGAGTATGCGAAGCAGCATGGATTGCCGGTTGTGGTGAAATGCGCAAGTGGTGGCGCTAGGATGCACGAAGGGACCTTGTCCTTGATGCAGATGGCCAAGATTTCTTGTGCTGTCTCTGCTTTGGGATCGGCTGGTCTTCCTTTTATCACCTTGCTGGTGGATCCATGCTATGGTGGTGTCAGTGCCTCATATGCGATGCAGGCCGACGTACGCATCGGCGCAGAGAAGGGGCGCTTAGGCTTCTCGGGCCCACAGGTGATCCTCAACACGCAGTTTGGCATGCATCAGGCGACTTACGATCGTGAATGTCCAGACGACTTCCAGAGCAACGAGTTCGGCCTGCATCATGGTTTGGCTGCTGGGTAGGCCTTTGCGATATGTTGCATTTTCCTTTTTGGGGGGGCTTTAGGGGATCTCATTTGAAGAGACTTTAAAGCTTTAAAGATACTGGTTTTTTGGGGGGGATTCAGGGGATCTTATTTGCAGAGGCCTTCAAGCTTGAAAGTTTCCGTTTTGGGGGGATTTAGGGGATCCTGTTTGAGGAGGCTTTAAAGCTCTAAAGTTTTCTTTTTTGGGCCTTAGGGGGATCTTACGTGCAGAGGCTTTAAAAGGCCAACCTAGGTTGACGTGGTGGTTCCCCCGGATGAGATGGAGTCCATAGCCTGGCAGGCCGGGCAGTATTTTCTGCGGGGCACTTAGAATTGTTTTTTAGTTTTTGGTTATTATAATCCCTAAGAAACAGCTAAAATTGTATTTTTTTGCTAGGGTTCCAAGTTCAGTATAGTTTTGTACTTGGGAGCTCCCGCCTTAGGGATTTCCTTTAAAGGGAATTAAAAGGGTTCCTTCAAGGGGTCTATAAGGTTCCTCAAAGGGATCTATAAGGGTTCCTTGGGTTTGGGGTTTACTGTCTGGTTTTTAGTAGGGAATGGGGGAATGGATTATGGAGATTGTTATTGGGGATGGTACAGGGACTATAACGGTTGATGGTATAAATCCTGCATTACCCATAATAAGGAATATACCATAATTCCCATAGTTTAGGATCCTTAAGGTAATGCAGGATTTTTATCATCAAACCAGACAGTTCATGCATCCTGCTGTCGACCCAAGGCTTCATGATAGCTTTCTTGTTACACTGTCGCCTAATTTGATACAGGGGACGGATGAGTGTTTACGCATTTTCTGTAGGGCTCCTTGATTTAGTTTTAACTAATTTGGTCCTTACTGGCTGTAACCTCAACTTTTCAACTTTTGGGGTACTTATAAGGTAGTCGATTCTGAAAGTTTCAACTTCTATTTCCAAGGGTTTGGGGCCAGTGAGGGTGAAGGAGAGGCCCCAACTCAGATTGACCTCCAGGTGCTGTCCGTGTTAGTCGGCAAGCCGCGGCCTTCCCTGGCAACACCTTCGGCGATCACGCAGTTCCAGGGTGGCAAGCCCGTCTACGTGAACTCACGTCTCCTAAGTCGATACGACTCCTCGGACATTTTGAAGGAGCTCGCCGTTCGATTTATCGACCTTGGGGGTGATGGCAAAGGCCCGAATGGTCTTGACAGGTGCTTGCGCTGTGGCCTTGCGACCCTCCAGAGTGGCCGCAGCGTCGTGGTCATGCGATGTTGCACCTTAGTCAAGAGTTCGGCAAGCTTGAACTGTTTGGGGGATGTGGATGACGGTATGTGTATATAACTGTGTGTATATATATATATATATATATATATATATATACACACAGTATATGATGTGTATATGTACATACATATGTGCATGTAAGTATTATGTATAATTGTATATACGCATCAAGAAACCTCCGAAACCCTTAGCTCCTTGGGTTGGCTCTTGATACCCAAGTATATAAGGCAAGGGTCATATTCCATGATGAAACCGAAATCCCATAATATAGGGCCCTTAATCATTACAACTAGGTTTTTTTGGTGAAGGTGGGGGGCTCCTCGTTATAATTACGCTAGCATGCACCTCAAAACCAGATTCTAGTCGTTAAGGCGCTTATATTATCCCTTACCTTAAACCCTTTCTAACCGTCAACCCTGAACTCATACCCCGAGGGTCCGTATATTGACGGCAATTGTGGCAAATAGGTCCCAAAAGATCATCCCCATTGTGGTTTTGGGCGACCTAAGTCCAAAGTAGTCGTATAGATGTACCCGCTTGGTTAATGCCCCAGTAAGGCAAGGGCCACACTCCCACAGATCGAGAGCATCACAACCATGCAATGCCCGCTCCTGCGGGCTACAGGACGGCCTTTCTATGTTCTTCGACCCCAAACACTACCCTAGGCTCCTAAGGGGGTCTTGGGCTTTCTGGGGGAGGGTTTCGGCTTTAGGGGCTAGGCTTCGGGATGACGCTACAAGGGTCCAGGAGCCTTAAGATAGTAACCTAAAACGCGAATGCCTAAACCTTCAACCGTAAACGATATGCCCGGATATTACCCTGAACCCTAAACCTAACCTGTTATCATGATAACTAATAGTATTCTATTTTGGGGTTTCTTATTGTAGTTATAGTATAACCCCCAACCCTATTCTGATTATTAAGGCCCCTGTATCCCGTAACCATTGCAACCCTAAGCAATCTTCCCTAAAGCCTAAACCCTAGTCCCTAACAATACTAGTCTGGGGTTCCTTATTATGGTTATAGTATGATGGGCCCCAGCACCCTATTCTAAACATTAAGGCCCCTATATTAAGCCCTAGCCCCTACTCTAACATCCTAAACCCTAAAACCCAACACCCTGAAACCCCAAACCCTAAAGAGGACGGCCTTGAGGTTCTTCGACCTGGCAGAGCGATTTAACCTGCCAGTGGTCTCTAGATCCTGATTCAGGGTTTAGTGCTTAGGGTCTGGTTTTGGGGTTTAGTGAATCCTCCTTAGGGTAGAGGGTTCAGGGTTTAAGGTTAAGGGTTTGGTGTTAGGGTTTGGGTTGGTTTAGTATTTAGAGCTGAGGCGTCATGTTTTTTGGGGTTGGGGGCTGCGTGAAATCACGCCGAGGTCACACTTGTGGACACGGTCGGAGCTTGGCCATCCTTTGCCGCAGAGACAGCAGGACACTTGGCGTTAATTCTGGGTGGCTCTTAGGACTTTAACTTTTGGGTTTTGTATATATGAACTATAAAGTAAGGAGGCTAAAAGTTTAACTTTTGGGATGGGTTCAGAAGTCAACCAAGGACAGAGCGAGGCGATTGCAACGAATCTAACCAAGACGCAGGGCTGCACCTACAAAGTGTCCAAGTAATGGTATAGTATATACTTTGGGGGTCCAAATACCTACTAAATACGTCCCATAACCGTACCTGGACCTTTTGGGAATTTTGGTTCGGCCGATCGTTCGTGATGGAAAACAACAATGCCGGTGTGCGCGGTAGCAAGACTGTCGCCCTGGGCTTCACTAGTTTCCTCTCACCGCTGGCTTGGCATCGACCACTAAAGGGAACTCCAGAAAGTTGGAATATGGTTTCAGGGTAGGATACCTTATAATTTACCGTAAAGGGTTTAGGATAATCATATTCCAACTTTCTGGCTTTTACTTTAATGCCATTGTTTACATGTTGAGCATAGAGGTAACCAGCGTGTGCTCTCGACTCTTCTGAGAATTTGAACACCACTGGCCTGGCTCGGTTTATCGTCTCGAACGATGCTGGCTAGTTCTGCAAATCGGAAAATGATATCCAGGCATTGTCAATACAAGTATCGTTACTTTCTGGAAATCATAATGTCATGTTGTCCCTGTCGCTGTCCGTGTATTCATTCAAAGTCTTGCTGCCAATACTACCATGTACTCCGTCGCTGCCGTTTGCTGGACTGTCATGATGCTCAGTATGCTGATTATGCGAAAGGCTGCACCGTTGAGCACCGTGTTACTGTCATGCCGTAGGCAGTGGTCGTCTCGCAAGAACGTTGGCAGTGGTGGCAGTTGAGGTAGTAGTCCGGGCATCGGTAAAGCAATAGCAGCATCTTATACGTATTATCCGCTGGAGGTTTAGTAGAAGTAGTACTAGTACTCGTACGAGTAAACTATAGGAGTAGCAGTAGTCGTAGTCGTAGTTGCCGTGGTGGTAGCAGTGGCATTGGTGGAGTTGGTGGTGGTTACCACAGACAGTGCTACTGACACTACAGACCGGTTGCCAGACTCAGAGCGTTTTGCTTCTACTGCTCTTGCAGTTGTTGCAGCTTCTTGTCTTTCGGTGCAAGGCGTTATGGACGATTGTATCATCCTTCCCGTTGGTTTTGAATTCAACAACACCACTGTCTTTTTTGACATCTAAGAATGTCAGAGCCCCGAGCTTCAGCATAGGATGGGCGGGCTCAAAGTGCCCATCGTGACCATTATTGTCGGTGAGGGCGGCTCTGGGGGCGCACTGGCCATTGCCATGGGGAACAAGATCGGAATGCTCTCCCAGGCATATTACTCCACCATCACGCCGGAAGGTGCGGCTTCCATCTTAGGTCGGTACAAAGACGATGATCACAAGAAGGTGCCGTGGTCTGGGGGGTATTTTAGGCTTTAGGGCTTTCAGTTTGGTTCATGCACTGAAGTGTTGCGTGTTGGCTGCTGCATCGCAGAGCTGCTTCAACCATGACATAAACTTGCTAACGTTGGTGCATGGCTGTGGACAGATAGATCAACATCGCAAAAATCGAAAACAAGACGTTAGCAGTCTTGCACGACTAGTTCCTTCGTCCCACAAGCGCCACAAACCATGCCGGTTGGACAGCAAGGTGCAATTTCCGGAGGATTGTCTCGCCCTTGCGTCCAAGCAGAACATCTATGCACCACAATTGAAGGAGCTGGGTGTCATCGATGAGGTGATTTGGGAGAAAGAGGGAGAGGACTGCAAGTGGGCAGGTTGCAGTTTTCTGTTGCAATTCTTCTTCCAATAGTTCAGCAAACGACACTCAAGCGCAGCAGTAGTAGTAGTAGTCGTCGTAGTAGTCGTAGTAGTAGTCGCCGTCGTCGTAGCAGTAAGAGTAGGAGTAGTAGCTGTAATCGGCGTAGGAGGAGAACGAGCAGCAGTAGGAGTAGGATTAATTGGGAGTAGTAGTAGCAGCAGTAGCAACTGTAGGAATCGTAGCAGTAGAAGGAGTATGCAGCAGCAGCAGCAGCAGCAGCAGCAGTAGGTGGAGTCGCAGCAGTTCATCCTGGACCCCGGTCTCAATTTCCCAAACCCTCAATGCTTGCCCGTGAATAGGGTTTGGGGATACACTATACTATAATTCTATTAAAGGAGCCCTTTATTAAGGCCCCTACATTGCCCCTACTCTCCAATGTAGTCCCTTCTTCTGGACCAAACTCATATTTAGGATCATACAAGGCAACCCCCAAAAGGAACTACGATGGAGACTATGGGTAAACTGTAAATTCTCGACCACAAACCTAAACTAGGTCCATAAACTAGCCCTGATTCCTAATCCGTTTCTCAGGACCTTCCTCAGACCCGTGGTACACCAAAAGAAGCCCACGACCTCGAAATGTTAGGTTTAGGGGTTAATTAGAGGTTTAGGGGTTCGGTGGTTTCGGGGCCCACGGTTTAGGGTTCCTCAGGACTGCAAGTCCTTCCCTGGGACAATGGGCAACATCAGTGCCTTCGTGGAATCGAGTCTTCAGGAACTCGCGCAGATGGATTCTGCGAAGCTCGTGGATCAGCGGTACCAGAAATTTCGGAGCATCTAGAGGGCCGTATTGAAGATGTTTTGCCAACCTTATTAATTCATTTTGGGCTTAGCACTCCTAATTATTATGAATTCAGAGAATATCACACATCCACGTAAAAAAAACTGTATACATACTTAAACTTAAAAGAAGCCCTAATTCAGCAGTGTAAGTTTGCCAGGAACTTGTTTTGTTTCATGTTCTCCATCCTATAAGCCCCAAACCTAAGCCCTAAAACTCAACACCCGCGTAAATCGTGCTTCGCGGTGTTGGGTTGAAGGCATGGGGAAGTTCAAAGAGTACACTCCGGAGGAAAGGGAGGCGCTCACATCCGCTCCGGCAGAGGAGACAGTTCTGCTACAGTAGAAGCCAGAAAGTTGGATCATTATTTTCCTGGTGCCCGCAAAGGAAGTATAGGGAATCCCAGCAAGACTCATCCTAAGTCTATGTTCCAACTTTCTGACTGGGGTTTACTATAGGGTTTCCGTTTCCTGGGTTGAGGGTTTAGGGCCGAGGGCGGGCTAAGGATTTGTTGAGTTTAGGCAGTTTAGGAGTTAAGGATTTGGGGCTTGTTGAGGTTTGCGTTAAGGCTGTTAGGTTTAAGTACGGGTTTACAGGGAGCAGGGTAATGGGCCGGTGGGGCTTTGGGTTTAGGAGCTTAGCAAGTTTAGCGGTTAGGGCATGTACCCTAAACCCTAAACCCTAAGGGTTTAGGGTTTAGGGTTCCCCACTGAGACGCCTGTCCTCTCAACCCCCCGAAATCGGGTTCTGAGCAAGGGGTTGCGGCTTCAGTGTTTGGGTGGGTCTTGCTTATGTACCTTGCAGGGTCCCTTTTATAAGCCTAAGCCCTAAACCCTAAAGCCCAGCCCGAGTTCATCGGGTTTGGCGTACGTGGGACTTTTTTAAAGCTTTCTGGGGTTAGGGCTGTAGGCCCAGATCTTCCAACATCTCTTACAAACGGATGCCGAATACGATTTAGGGCCCCCTAACCCTGAGGGTCCATGTACCCAAGTAGTATATACTTTGGCCTTAATGTAGTCACTATTTAGGTACTTTAGGGCCAAAGTATGTACTATATGGGTACATGGACCCTAAGGGTAAGCCAGGAACATAAGGGATATTGGAAGATCTGGGTTAAGGGTTTCAGGGATTTGGATTTAGGCAGGATTCATCTGCTCTGGTCCAGGAGAAGCCCAAGAAGAAGCGCGTGGTGCCGCCACCGCCGAAGATCTTGAACTTCCTGACAGAGAGAACCATCAAGGGGGCCCATTCCTTCTTCAAGGGTGCCTGCGATTGGTTTAGCAGAGTAGTAGATTAGGCATCCTTTAACCTTTTCGCGGTATTACACCCATATATAACCCCAATATTATCCCAAAAACTCGCCAGTATTTTCTTCAGGATACTGGACAAGCGAGTCTAAATAGGGCTTAGTAGGGATCTACTGGTTTGAGAAAATTTTACATAGGCCATGGTACGACAATGACATTGGACCCAAGTGCAGACTTGCATCATTGACACTGTAATCAGTGGGCCGGCATAGCTACGGTTCATGATATAAACCCTGCATTACCCATAATGAGGAATATACAATAATTCCCATAGTCTAGGAGAGTCTAGGGTCATTAAAGTAATTCAGGATTTATATCATCAACCGTAGTACGGCCATTCCTTAAATTCCTTTGGGTTGCCTTGCAATACTTTCAGTCTACAGCTCTCACACACCCAGGTTTAGGGTTCAGGGGTTTAGGGTTTAGGGTGCGCAAACCTTCAGGCATCTGTAGGTTGGCTGTTTTGTCGGCTTTGGTTTTGATCGCTGTCCTGTTGCAGACTGGCCTTCACCACGAAACGCCTTAAGCCTCAACCCCAACCCCATACCCTAAACCCAAGCCTAAGTGCTTAACCCCGATGCCTTTCAGAAATCCATGGGAGAAGCATCTGGCTGCTGACTTCGATAGCCCTTAACCCTGAAATCTGCAAAGCCCTTCCCAAACCCTTGCAGGTACCGTTCAACAAACCCAACAGCCCTAAACCCTAAAACCGTAAACGCCTAGCGTTCAAGCGCCCTAGACGCTAAAAATCTAAACTGTAAAATCCTAAATCCCGAAAACCCTAAACCTGCTCCCCATGCGAAGCCAAAAAAACAAAAAACACACCCTCAAGCCCAAAAGCCCTTCACCCTAACCCGAGCCCTAAAGCCCTAAACCCTGAAATCCGAAACACCTCCAGTGTAGTTGGTTTTTCGTGGTTCGCTCTGTCGTAGTTGAGTAACAGTTTAAGCCACAGCCACCGAAAACCACAAAACCCTGAACACCTCAAGAGTTCGTCTTCGTAGTTCCGAAGTCTTCAAATCCGAGGAAAAGGTCCCTCCGGATGCCCCGACCACTGCTATCTCAAGGCTGCGGTTTTAGGGCTTCAGGAGAATAGGGCTTCATGAAGGTCTTCAGTATAGGATCTAAAAGCGAGTTTCCGAAAATTAGGGGTACCTTATTTTGGGGTCCTTATAATAAGGATCCTACGATTTAGGGTATTATATCAGGGTCCCCTATTTTCGGAAACTCCCATAAGTTGTTCGGAAGGCTTGGATAGGGTTCTACAATGTAGGGTATGGTCTAGTACATGGAGCATGCTATGCCCAAGGCTCCTTTGTTTAAGGGTTTGCGCTGTTGGGGTTCAGGGCTTACCCTAAGGGTCCAAATACCTGATTATCATATACTCTCCCAAATAACTACTATCCTAAACGCGAGTACCCAATTATTGGGCCCTTTGGACCCTTAGGATTAGGGTCTAGCCCCTGCACCCTTTAACTCTCCTGAACCCTAAGTCCCAAGCTTTAAGCTCCATAAAAAGTCTACACCCGACCTGAACCCCGAACCGCCTGCCTTTGTTTAAGGGTCAATGTAGTATATGCTTTGGCCTCAAAGTAGTCCCTATCTAGGTACTTTGGGGCCAAGGCATACATATTTTGCGTACATGGATCCTGAGGGTATTTTAGCACCCTAGACCTTTTATAGGACCCATATAGTAACCCTTAAAGGAATCCTTAAAGGATCACTATTTTGGGCACATGGGCCCTAAACCCAAATCCTTACGCCCCAAACCCTCAAACCCTACACCCTCAAACCCTAAGCCCTAGACCCTACACGCTCAACCCTAAACCTTAAACAGAAAATCCTTTAGACCCTACATCTTTAGACCCTAAACCCTAAACCACAAATCCTTATTAACCCCAAACCCTACATCCTCAACCCTAAACCTTAAACCCTAAACCTAAAACCCTGAACCTTTAGACCCTAAGCCCTAAACCCTACAACGGTAGTTCTCTTAGGGGCCGGGTGGTCCCGAAGACCTGGCCAGGTCGAGCCGGTCCCTGCGGCGAAGCCCGAGCGAAACAGGGCTCTGGTTCAGGACCCTAACCCTAAGACTCCAAGTAGACAAATAGTACCTACTTTGGGGTCTAAAGTCTATAAATGCTACCTACTTTGGGCTATTTGGAGTCTTAGGGTAAACCCCCAAAACCCGAAACCCCGAAACCCTTAAAACCCGAAAAGGCTAAACCCTAAACCCTTAAAACCCCAAACCCTTAAGTTCCCATAGGAGGAATCCTTCAAGTCTTGCGCAGGAGCTTAATTTTTTAGTTACCATAAGAAGAGGGATCGTTTAAGGATCCCGCAAGGGCTCTTTAAGAGGTTTCGGGTGTAGGATTTAGTTGGCACAGAGTTCAGATTTAGTTGTTATAGAGTTCCGGAGCTACCTTCACCGACCAAAATCTCGTTTGGTTGTGGGTTTTGATGAGAAACCCTCATATATGGAACTTATAGGGTCCCTACAACAAAGTAGGTTCTTGTTCATTGTTTACCGTAACATCCCGAGTATGGCAACTGAAATGCTTAACGAAGCCTTATAGAATCGTCAAAGGACCCTTATAATGAGAACTTGAGCTATCAACCTTAAAGCCACAACAAAAATCCTTAACAAGAGCCTAGGAAATGCCAAGCAGATCCTCGATGAGGAAGGGCCCGAAGCCATGGCGAGGCGCTAGGGCGTGGCCTCCACAAAAGCGGGTTTAGGGTTCAGGGTCTTTTAAGCTTTTTTGGGGGTTTAAGTTTAGGGTTTCCAAGCCCCTTTGCAGGGGTTCGGGCTCATAAATTGGGGTTTAGGGTTTAGAGGCCTTGGGTTCGGGCATCAGGGTGGACAGTCTAGTCTGTGGTTTGTCTCTATAGGGCTTAGCACTTTGGGTTAAGTGCCTGTTCATGTTCATGGGGGTTGTGATCTGTAGGGCGTAAGCATTTACAGGTTTTTAGGTCCCCATCGTGTAGATAGGTGGGCAGATGCCTAAACGTAAGGCTTTAGATTTACCTTGGTGGGGCTCTGGGTGTTTAGGATTGCAGACTTTTAAACTAAAAGACACTCTTTCCTTAAGTCTGAGTGGGTTTAGGCTTTAGAGTGTTTACGAAGATCGAAATACTTTTAATGAAAAGTACGGTTATGGCGTGCAGGTTGGCACTGCTAACTTACTTTTGAACTGGCCGCTGCTTCTAGTACGTTTTGGGTATGTTCTGGGTTTGTCAGTACCATACTTTAATACGTTTTGGAGCGACCGGTTACTTAAAGGGAACCATGATGAAATAAAAACCTATACCGTTCCTCCCAGGTTGCTTCAAAGCCCAGTGTTGGACGCCGGCATGACACGGAGGTTGATACGTGGGTCTGAAGGCTTAGTCATAACATTCCCTCATCGTCCCTTTGTATGCCCAGCGAACCCACTGTGATGATTCACAGTATTGAACCCTATGGTAACTACTTCCCAACACCCCAGAACCGACCGACTGGAACCCTTCCAAGTAGAGCCCTTGAAAGAAATCGTTGAAGCAAACCTCAAAAAAAGAAAGAACTTTGACAACTGTCAAGGAGCCTTCAAAGGAAAACACCGTGTGTGGCCCTTTGGACAAGTCACCTGCCAGGTGGGTTCGAGCCACTTCCAAGGAGCGTGTCTTGCTCCCAGGTCAGAATTTGGAAAGAGTTTTTTGCTTCAGACCAAAGGGGATCTCAGAAGGATTTTGGAGGGGTTGGTAAGGGCTTAGTACAGATTTTAGTACAGATTTTTAAAGGGTTTGAGAAAGGCTCTACGAGGAATATAGAAGAGCTTCCATGCACCAACACTTTATTGCATTTGGCCTTACAGGGGGTACTGATAAAATGTAGTGATCCTGGTGAAAATCTAACCCTAAACTCAAGGCCCTAAACCCATACCTTAAGGGTCCATGTTTCCATACGGCTGATGATGCAAATCCTGCACTACTCATAACAAGGAATATACTATATTCTAGGGTCATTAAGGTAATGCTATATATATATATATATATATATCATCAACCCTAAACCTAAACCCTCAAACCCTATAGATCCCTTAGCGGAACCTCTTAATGGTACCAAAGGAACCCTAGGATACTTTGACCCTCAAGTCCCTATATGGGGGTGACTTTGAGAGCTATGTATATACTGCCTAGCCCCTAAACCCCGAACCTTAAAACCCTACCAACCCTAACCCCTAAACCCCTATACTCTAAACCCATCATAGACCCTCAAGGCTCGTGTGTGTTTCGCTGTAGCCGCCTCTAAAGGTCCAGATAGTGACGGTTTAGGGTTTAGGGGTTTTCGGCGGTTTAGGGTACAGGGGTTTAGGGGTTAGGGGATGCTTAGAGTTCAGCTCGGGGTTTAGGGTTTGGGGTTACGGTGTATTAGGCTATTGCCTTTGTTATTTTGGTTCCTTCAGTCATAACATAGTATATGCTACAGCCCTGTTCTAACCATCCAGGCCCCTAAGTTCGTTCCGCTAAGGCTCACGGACACCACGCTGCGTGACGCTCACCAGTCCCTGGTCGCCACGCGCATGAGGACTCTAATGTAGGGACCTTAATAATTAGAATCGGGTTTTGGTATAACATGTTACACTATTACTATATATCAAGGAACCCTATCTTGGTTTTATTTAGTCTTATATATTGACCCAGATTTATATGGTTTGGGTCTTTCGGAGACCCCTTTGTTTTGCCCGTTCTGTTCTGAGTTCTACTGGCCTTCGACTGCTGCTACAGTCCTTCACCTGGACCTCGACTGTGAACAATTCAAGTTTCATCCCTTTCGACAACAAGCTTGAGGGATGGTTCTTGTTTCCGTTGGGGTCGCAACGTTCCAGTATCTCAAGCCTTTCCAGTTGTCCCTGGTTCATCTGGCAAGGTGTGCGCATGATGCTGGCATGTCTGCCTGCACACCCCGTGTGAACAAGACTTTGGTACTGCTAGTGCTGTTGTGTGGGCAGTAGTAGGAAAGTTGCAGCCGTGGCTGAAGTGCAAAGGCTCCAACAACTACAACGCCTGGTGGTGGCTGGTAGCAGTGCTATTGCCAGGTTATTGTGAAGTGTGAGCAAGCTGATAGTTTACCACAGCTGGCTAACCTACTACGCTTACCATCGCATCACTATGCCTGTCCTTTTCACGCTGCTTATTATTGTTATTGTTATTGTTATTATTGTTGTTATTATTATTTTCATTATTATTATTCTTCTTCTTATTATTATCATTATTATTATTATTATTGGTTTTATTGTTTTTTATTGTTTTTAATATTGTCATCTGCCCTCCTATGAACCTGCCGAGGTTTGGTTCGCAAAATGCGAAATCCAAAGCCCTATCCCCTGAACCCCACGACAGATATTATATGGGTTATAACTACAGTAAACCCCAGAAAGTTGGATCAGGATCAAGGCCAAATAGTGCAGGGATTCCCTATACATTGCTCTTGAGGATTAAGGCTATGGGGTTTCCAACTTTTCGGCTTCTACTGTATAGTTACCCTACTTATAACTCCATTATAACTACCCATGAAGCTGCAAGTAACCCGGATATTCCGAGAGATTGAATCCCCAAATCCGCAAGCTCTGGAACCCCACTGACCCAAGCAGATCGGAACCCCAAACTCGTGATAAGTCAATATTTCACGACAGCGAGATTCCAAATTCTAACCCCCAAATCCCCAAAGCCCAGAAAGCCCGGATCCTCCTACGAGCCTTAGGGTAAACCCTTAATCCCACAAGCCTACGCCCCTGAAACCATCTGCAATCTCTTCAGCGGCGAAAAGCTTGGTTCAGGGTTCAAGGGCTTAGCCCAAAAGCATTCAGACCGAAACCCTGAATTCCTAAACTTGTCACCGCCGAAACCCCAACCTCAAATCCCTGGGCCTGAGTCGTTAACACCCCGGAGGTGTAAGGTTCTGGGGTATTGCGGTTGTTAGGGCTTTAGGGTTTCGTGTGCTCCTAAACCGTAACCCCTCCTCACAAACAAAGCAAACCACAAAAATACCTTCAATCCTAAACCTTAAACCCTAAAGGGTTTTCTATTCCTGAAAAGGACCGCCGACATGCTCAAAGCTGCTCCCGAGATGAGCAAACACTTGCACCAATACTTCTCCCTGGAGTCTTTGCCACGGTGTAATGGGGTTTAGGTCTTTATGTTGTGGTTATAACTAAAATCAGGAATCCCCTTAAATATGCTTAGACAGTAAACTGGGGAACTTTGAACTGGCCTTATGTATTAGCTCTATCTTAGAAAGTTTGAACTTTTGGGGGCCCGGTTGCTGAAGAAGAGGGTGAGTCTTCGCCACCGTGTACCCTAAGGGTCCTAACATTTTAGCGAACCTCAGAATGTAGGATTACTGAGACCCCAAACAGTCCCAAGGGCTCTCCCTATGAAAAAACGGACCCTCCTAAGGAGATACCTGGACCCCTAGGGTAATGGGGTTTAGGTTTTTTTGTGGCAGTTATAGGGTTTATACAGGAATCGGAGTGCTGTCCAATGGTGTTCCACAGGGTTCCTCCATTGAGTTATAGTATCAGTATACTATACCCCAGTAAGGTTCACAGTTCTAGGTCGTTTTTTCAAGGGCTTCATAGGCTCCATATGGATGTTGCAAGGGTTTCCTCAAGTCCTTGTATGAGAGAGAGAAAGGTCTTTAGAGGGCTCTGCGTCTTTCGTAGGGCTTTGTCGACAAGTTTGACCGAAAGCCCTGAATCCTATACCTGAAAGTCACAACCGGTTACTACTTCTTACGAAGCGGGAACCTTCCAGTAGCTTAGCAGATTATAAACTTTGATCCTTTGCGACGTGTGTTGCCGTATCTTCGATTCAGGGTTTATAGGGGCCTTAGGGTGTTTATCAAAGGTGAAAAGGAGGGACCCTTAATGGGGACCCCTACCCTATAATGGGCTATATCATGGGTATATAATAGCTATATTAAGCGTATATTACCTAGGGGTCCTTATTACGGGTCCCTCCTTTTACCCTTGGTGGTTTAGGGTTTCTGAGTCGTACGGGATGTGCCCTGGCAACGAGGATTCCTTAAATCGTTTCTTGTTCCCACAACATTGAAATTCAGGGCTTCTAGGGTAGCGCCCTGTGTCTTACAAACTCATGCAGGATTTATATCATCCGCCCTAGTTTCTATCCTGAGCCCTATAAGCCCTAAAACCCGAAAGCCGTAAACACCTAAACCCCAAAACCCTAAATCCTAACACCGTAGAACTAAAACTTAAACCCTAAACTTTCAATCCTGAAGCCCTAAACCTTAAAAACCCTAAAGCCCCCAGCCCTAAACCTCTGAAGCTCTAAACCCGAAACCTTAAAAGCCTAAACCCTACACCCAAAGCCCTAAACCTTTTCTGCCTCGAATCTGAGGAGTGCTGGGGCGGTGCCACCTTCGACGTTGCGTATCGCTTCCTGAATGAGGAGGGCTTTGGGCAACAAAAAGGGGTGTGGAGGTTTCAGGGTTTAGGGTTTCAGGGTTTAGGGTTTAGGGGTTTAGGGGTTTAGAGTTTAGGGGTTTACGGTTTAGGCTTCAGGGGTTTAGGGGTTTAGGGTTTGTGGAGGTTTTAGGGTTCAGGGGCTTAGGGGCTTCAGGGTTGAGGATGAATATAGAAGCCTGAGTAAGTACCAATCCTTAACCCTAAGGCTCAAAATAGCCCAAAAGCCTTATATAGTATGGTCTTTGGGGCCAAAAGCCTTGAAATATGAGTCCTTAGAGCCTTAGGGTAAGCGTCCATGTATCCAAAATGTGGAATGACTTTGCTCCCAAAGTACCTAGGGAGTGCTTTAAGGCCAGAGTATAGACTATTTGGGTACACGGCGTACACGGACCCTTCGGGATAGAAGCGTTAACAGTTACCAACATTATTCCTCATGGTTCCTTATTGTAACTTTGTTTTCTAAATATCATATGCCCCCAAACCCTGTTGTAATTACTGAGGCCCTATATGCGTGAAAGGTTTGCAGGGTTTGAGACTGGGTGTCCAGGAATGTACTGAAGGGCCCCTGAACCCTACTCCTCAGAGCCTACCTTGAGGGTCAGGGGTCTCAGTAAGTAGGTTATATCTTGGGTTATAAGTCCCAATTATACCCTACTTATCATCGTACTTACTAAGTCCCACGAGCCTTTAAGTGTACGCCCTGAACTTCGGCATTGGGGTGTGATTGAATTCAGCGTCTAGTTTTCTTGTAGAGTAGGGTGGTCGGAAGCCTTCGTCCGGATATTGGCCCTCAGAAATCCTCTGCGCGTACTCTAATGGTTCAGCTCAAGGGGGTCGGGGTGAAGGATTCCGGGACAACCCCTAAACCTTAAACCCATGTCAACCCTAGACACCAAACCTGATACAGCTAAACCCCGAAACCCTACCCCCTGAAACCCTGGACCCCAGACCTTCCAACATCCCTTAAGTAAGGAATAGACCTTAAATCATATTAAGGATCCTACTATAATTTAAGGTATATTCCTTAATTAAGGGGTTTTGGAAGGTCTGGGACTTGAATACTCCCTGAAGCTGCACCAGGATGCCTTTAGGCGGCTTGAAGAGCTTCGAGCGGCAATCCCGAACATTTGCACACAGATGCTCCTTGGTTTCTAGGGTTTAGGGTTCAGAGGCCTGTATGAGGATCCATGTACTCATATAGTCTATACATGTAGTGTTTCCAGGATAGCTTTAAGGGCTCTTTGTGTGCTGAGCAAATAAGCCTTAATGCTTTTTGGACACAAAGACCATGCCATATAAGGCTTTTGGGTTGTGTTGAGCCCTAGCGTTTGGCACAACAAACGGACAACCTCAAGCCGGGTTTATGATTTAAGGTTTAGTTTGCATCCGCAAAACCTGAGTTCCGAAAGCATGTAACCCGAACAGCTAAATTTCTAAAGCCACAACACCCGTAGAAGACTTCAGCCTTGGAAAGGACGACAACAGCCCAGAGAAGATTGAAAGCTTCCTTACTCAGCTACTACGCCCTTTGGGCAAGAGCTCAGCCTTGAAGTATGAAGCCTTAGACTGGGTTCTTGTTTAGGGGCTTAGTTGATGTTAATTACAGTAATTGATAGGGATCTATAGTAAATCATATATCTTCTTTATTATGTTGACTTAAGATACACCCTTTAACAAGAACACAGTAGAGCCTTCGGAAAAGAGCCTAGCAAGCAAGGCTGCTGCGTGGTGCCAACGGGGTCGGCTACAAGTCGTATCCCGTGGCTCAGCTGCAGGTTCTCACGCTTTGCTCGAGTTTAGGGGGCTCAGGGCTTAGGGTTTAGGGGGCTTAGGGCTTGGGGAGTATTTCCCAATAGTTTTTTGAATTAGCAGAATTGTGGTAGAAGAAACCACCGAACTGGTATCCCAATCCATAAACTTTCGGAAATCCCGCGGTCCAGGACAATGTGGTCGAAGAGTTTGTGCGCCAGGCGGCCACGTCGGGCATGGACGTATTCCGGATTTTCGATTGCTTCAACGACATTGAGCAGATGAAGGTTTCTCGATAGCCGAACCTAGTAGTAGAGTAGGTAACCTTAATCTTTTTTTGGGTAGTATAGTATAGTCCCTACATAATCCCTTTATACCCAAAAAGGTGTTCCCCATGATACCCGACAAGTAGGCGAATGAGTAAAATTCGCACTAGCAATTTTCATCCGGGAGGGCTGGTCTTCCGAAGATTAAACAAACCCAGTAACTTGCCTTTGCTTGGGCTAGCATCCCTGATCTTATGCCGGGAAGGCAAAACGAAGGAGTCTTGTCAGTGTCATCGAGATGATTGTTTTTTGGCGGTGTCATGTGATTTGGTCATGGCTTTTGTTTGGATTATTGCTTGATTTTGTTTTTATCCCTTATACCAAGCAAAGCAACAAATAACTAGCGATCTGCGCCCTTAATTCGGAAAGAAACTTTTTTTGCGGCCGATGGCAAAGATGTGCGCTTATTGGCTCAGGGTTGAAGAAGTCAAGGGCTTGGATTCTGGATTTTAAGATTTCTACAAAATTGAAGGCCGCTACCATTTCAGTTTTTATATACTTTTCAAGAGCTATAGAATGGCCGGGTCCATACGCGCAGCGCAAATCTGCAGAACAATAAGCCGGCAAACCCAAACCAGACCCTGGCCTGGGCACCCTCACCCTGAAACCCCGAAGCTGTCGAAACCGTAAGCCCCCGAAACTCTTGAGCCAGGGCTCAGCTTCGAGGTTTAGGGTTGTGGTTTCGGTGGGTGGCTGAAGGTACATATTATATACTGCTTACAAGAAATTCAGGTTTTGGGCGGAGGACGGGTTTTAAAGTCGTTGGGCGAGGGTTTAGGGTCAAAGGATGTGTGGTATAGGTGGGAGTCCAAGGATAAGGGTTCGCAGTTTGGGGTTGAACATGGTTGTCAAGTGACTGATCACGGTTTTGGTTTGCAGTTGAAGGTTGGGGGTATTAAGCCTAGCTCAGTCCTAAGTTTTGAAGTGCAGGATTTTGAGCATCGCGTTTCGGACTGAATGTATGTGGTGGTTCAGGGTTGTAGGTTTGGGGTGGTTTTGGCTGGTTCAGAGTTTCTGGCTATTATTTGCAGGATGTGGTTATTTCGCCCCGAGGTTTACGGCTTGCAAGTCCTTTAGACTGTAGACATAAGACATAACGCCCGTGACCTTCATCAAAGCTTTAAGCTGCAAACCCACAAAGCAAACCTCGACTTTGACGTTTAACCCTAACCCTACCCGAAAACCATCCTTACTTTAAACCGTGGATCCCAGACATACATCAACAGCCTCGGCCGTAAAGCTTAGCCCCACTACTGAAAATAACCGTAGACATGAACGCAGCAACCTTAATTTTAACATGTAGTTCCTCAGCCCCAATCTCTAACCATCATCTTCAACCCTAGCCCATATAAGCCTTCGACCTTGAATCCTGTAGAAGTTCTATTCAAACCTCATCGAATCTTACCCCCACATGACTGAGGAAACAATCTTCGACCCTTAGCCCTGAAGCGCAAATCTTTATTTCCCACAACCCGAAAGACTGATTCCATTATATTTCGCGCAGAAAGGGCGACCAGCCGAGAACCCCCGAGCGTCAGCAGATTCTCGAAAAATCAGCGCAACCATTACAAAACTTAAAAATCTGCGAAAAATGCAAAAATTCTTCCAAAGATTGCGTTTAAGCCTGCATGCTTGACCCAGCCCGGCCCCCAAACTTTCCTCGACTCTCCTCGACTCTCCGCCGGCTGCCCTCGACTCTCCTCGACTCTTGGCCCGGCTGCTAGTCTACGCTAGCTCTTGGACCCATTCCCTCCTCGACTCTCCTCGACTCTCGCCGTGTTCTGCTCGACTCTCCTCGACTCTCCTCGACTCTCCTGGGCTCTCCTCGTCTCTTCTCGGCAGCCGGTAGTGGCCATTTTGTGCAGTTTGACAATTTGTTTGTGATTCGCGGGTTTTGCGTTGTTTTTGCGAGGTTTTTCAGATTTGCTGACGCTATCGGTTTTTCGCGATTTCTGATGGCCCCCCACATCGTCTGCGCAAGGGTTTAGGGTCTGGGGCCGGGCTGGGGCTTGTAGCAGCAAGGTCTTGAACACATAGTTTAAGTTTCGGACGGGGGATGGTTTGCTTAAGCAGCTGGCAGCTTGTGAGGGCTGTGAGTTGGGGTCTCTATAGGGTTTAGAGTTGGGGGTTGAAGGTTGAGGACTGCTTACTCAGAAGTTACGTAATGGGGTGAGATTACTCTTGAGGTTGAGGTTTGAGTAGCTTCGGTTTATATATCTTCTACAGGATTCAGGGTCGAAGACGCCTTTCCGAGCAATCGTGTCAGCGCTTATAATAGGGCCAGGGGCGATGGTTAGGGTTTTCAGCTCTGCACTTTACGGCTGTAGGTTGTGGTGTATGTCGGGGCCACGGCTTAAGGTTGAGGACGGTTTGTTTGAAGTTGGGTTAGGGTTATAAGTTGAGGTCGAGGTTTGCGGGGTTTTGGGTCCGGCGTGTAGGTGTAGGGTTCTGGGTTGAGGGTTTGAGGCAATCGTTCAATAGTTGGCATAGGGTTCACGGTTTAGGTTGGAGACACACGATATATTGTTGAGGACAGCCTCCTGTAAGTGGTTGAGTCAGGGTTCAGCTTTGAGGTAGAGGGTTGTGGTTGAAGGGAGTAGGTGATCTTGCTTAAAACTTGGGGGTTTATGGGTTTGGGGCGGACTTTCGATTTGTTGTGAGGGTTTAGGGTCGGGATGTGCAATCTAGGTGTCAGTACAGAAATGGGGGTCCACAGTTTAGGGTTCGAGATAGTTTCTATGTAGTCTGGTCGCGGCTTCGGTTTGCTTAAAAGTTGGGGGTATCAAGCCTGGTTGGGTCATCGGTTTCACAATTTCGGGTTCACGGTTCAGGCTCACTCTCAAACAGCAATCAGTCTTTGAGTGCAGGGTTTTGGGGCTCTTACAGGGGATACAGGTTTTGGGTTGAATGTACGTCACGGTTCAGGGTTGTAGGTTTGGGGCGTCTCAAGGTCTGGATCTGAGTTCTGGGGATTTGGGTTTTGGATGTTTGGGCCCGAGGATTAGGTGAGGATGGTTCGTTTTTTGGGGTTTAGGGCTTTGCAGCTTTATCTTGTGTGTGGATTGAGCTATCCTGTTTCATTCGCGCCTTTACAAACTGTGCGTGGCGAAGCGGTCGCGGTTTCAGTCGTTTTTCAAAAATCCAGAGATCTTGACCCTGACCTCCTTGAACCCCGAGCCAACAATTGCGCGTCTCTGCTATCTATTGAATCTACTGGCTGCATCGTCCCGGTGCGCCCTGCTATTCCGCGATATTGCCGGGTGGTACGCATCGTTATTGTTGGTTGTTACATGCAATGACGGCAAGTTCTGCGGCGCTCCGTTGCGGGGTACCTGCCTTACCAAATGTGTCGGCCCCGATGAAAATTGCTAATTCGCACTTTTCAGGATCGCATCGACTGAAAATACACTTGTGCCCTAAGGCTCAAAATCGCCCAATAGCCCGATGTAGTATGGCTTTTGGAGCCAAAAGTCTTAGCATATGAGTTTTTAGGGCTGTAGGCTTGGGGCTTATTCGCTGAGCAGCTTAGGTCTCAATCCAGGCCGTACGTAAGATGAAGAAGGTGGCTGAGATCGCCATGTGCTTCACTGGAGACTTCTTGAGTCCGGATGAGAAGATCTATACCCTCGACTACTACAAGGCCTCCCTGGTGCTTTCGTAGGGAATGGGGGAATGGATCCCTATAGTGCTCCCTATATACTCCCCTGTAGTCTCCATGCCCCCTATGCCTACTAAGAACCAGGCAGGGACTATAGATACCCTAAGACACGTATAGAACCCTTATAGGACCCTTTAAAGGAACCCTTAGAGGAACCCCATCCCCTACTCAGAATCAGGATCTCTGTAAGAAGTGCGTGGATGCTGGAGCGCACATGATTGCCATCAAGGATACTCGGCTTTGGAGTACCACACGTTAATACTTTTTTCTTAAAGGAACCATCCCTAAACCCGTAGACCCTAAGCCCCTAAGCCCCTAAACCCCAAGCCCCTGAAGCCCTAAACCCTAGACCCTTGCTTAAAAGACCAGGATATGGCCGGATTGCTGAAACCAGCCCATGCAGCTCCGATGGTTCAGGTCATCCGCTCTGTCTGTGACCTGCCCATCCATTTCCACACGCACCTGGGTTCTTGATAGGGATTTATAAGGGTTTCTTTAAGGGTTTAGGGGTTTAATTTGAGTTACCAGAATAGGGATGTATAGGATCTATAGTAAGTACGATAGTTTTCTTATTATTATGGGAACTTAAATTCGATCCTTTAACGAGAACCCAGGCACAACACCTCCTCTGCACAACTCGCCACCTTGCACGCCATGGCAGACGCTGGCTGCGACATCGTGGATGGCTGCTTCGCCTTATGAACCTACATAGTAGAGAGTAGGGTTTCTATATAGTAAGGAACCAGTTACTATCCTCCATACAGGATCGCTTAATGGCTTGAAGGAGCCCTTCCCTTGCCTTATAGAAGCCTTACAATACCCTTGTCGACCGCTAACGGACCCCCCTCACTAAACCGCTAAAACTAAACCCCAAACCCTAAGCCCCGTAAGCGCTAAGCACCTAAACCCTAATCCCCTCCTAAACCCTAACCCCAAAACCCTTTTGCTCCCTAACACGAAAAGGCTGCTTCGCAGCCTTCGCGGATGGCACCTCCCAGCCGTCTCTCAACGCCTTCCTCGCGACCATGCAGGGACGTCCCAGAGATCCGAAGATCCTCGGACGTAGGGCTCCCCAGAGACTCCAATATCCCTTAAGTAAGGAATATACCTTAAATCATATAAGGGATCCTACTATAATTTAAGGTATATTCCTGAATGAAGGGATAATGGACTGTCTGGCTCCTTAAGGGCAGCATGGGTTCTGATAGAGGGTCGTGTAGGGCTCTTTAGGAGATTAGGGCTCCTTATAAAGGGTCGTTTAGGGTTTAGGGTTCCGTGTAAAGGGTCGTTTAGGGTTCCTTGTAATGAAAGGGTTGATAAGGGATCCCTAATTCCTAAACCCTGAACCCTTAAACCCCTAAAGCCCGAAACCTAAACCCCAAAAATCCTAAACCCAAAACCCTTCAGCCTTAACCCTTAAGTCCCTAGACCCAAAACCCAACCCCTACACCCAAAACCACTCAACCCCAAACCCTTTCAAGAAAAGCCTGCTTTGCTGTAGGATCGACTACCGGCAACTGGAGGGCCTCGACGCCTACTGGGCCTCCGTTCGTGACATGCACTCTGGTGGCTCCAGTGGATTAGGGACCCAAACAGGACACAAGCATAAGCATATTATAGGGATATCCCTACCTTATTTTTGGGCTTCATTATAAGGGGGGCTTTATGGGATATCCCTATCCAAATTCTTGCTTATGTGCTTTTGGGGGGCCCTAGTGGGGCTCTTGGGGAGTTGAGGGTTTAGAGGTTTAGGGTCTGGGGGTTTAGGGTTCAGAAGTTTAGGGCTTAGGGGGGTAGGTAGTTGAGGGCCTTAGGGGCGTTTAGGCATTTAGGGTTTAGGGGTTTTAGGGGTTCAGGGGTTTAGGGGTTCAGGGATTAGGGGTTTTGGGCAAAGCCTCAACCCTATATACATCCCAGACTTTAGAGGGTTTCTGTGGGATTCAGAAGGCAGAGTTAAGGAGCTCAGGTTTTGAATTATACAAGTTTCACTGTTGCTCAATGATGCTAGTTTCGGCACTCTATGGTCCATTAAAAAGCCCTGATCCGACCTAAGAACCCCCAAAACACGAAGCCTCGAACCCCAAACCCCAAAAGCCCTCTCAACCCCCTAACCCTAAGCCCTAACGGTTAAGGGTTTAGGGTTTAGGGTTTAGGGTTTAGGGTTTAGGGTTTAGCGCCCCCAAGGTACAGCCCGTTCGAGAGTGGCATGAAGGCGATGACAGCGCGTGTCTTCCAACACCAGGCTACATGAAGTGGGGTACTGAAGGGTTTAGGGTTTACCCCTTAATTAAGGAGTATACCTTTATTTCATAGTTTGAGGTGTGTTCCTTAACTAAGGGGTATTGGGATCTCTGGGGGGGCGTAGTTGATTGGTTTAGGGTCAAGGTTTGCGCTAGATCAAGTAAGATACGCTTTTTGGTCGTAGAGCTTAGAGATCCTTGATCTATCAGAGTTCTACAAGATGGATTGGGGTTCAGGGTTTCGATCTTGCCCCAAGTGTTTAAGTACCTAATAATCATATACTCTCCAAAATCCTTACCTACATAACTACTATCCTAAAACCGAGTACCCGATTCTTGGGTCCTTTGGACCCTTGGGGTTGTTTGGAGTTTAGCAGCGTCCAAAGTTTCGAAGCTTTGGGCTTCTCCTTGGAAATGCAGCTTCGGGGCTGGGCATGAGTGAGTGTACATGGGGCTCCTGTCGACCGTTGTGGAATGTAGATCTTGAGTGTTATCTAATGTAGGATAGCAGAAATATGAGCCCGACCTTTATGCGTCGAAATGCTCGCGGGCTTAGATGAACATCTGAAGGTGTTAGGGTTTAGGGTGTGGGACGCTGGGAAGTATGCGTTCGAGCTTCGGAGGGTGGGGTTTCTGCGGCGTTGTTGGGGCCTTCTGTTGTTCCTGCGCGGTGTTGGGATCTTGGTTTCAGAGTCCTCACATTCCGGGGTCCTCTTTGCGGGTCCAGTGGTCGTTTTGGGTTTGACAATTAGGGACCCAAAAAGCCCATAAGCATAAGCATTTTATGGGGATATCTTATTGGGCTTCATCATAAGGCGTTTATATGGGATATCCCTATCCTTGTTTTTGCTTATGTGCTTTTGGGGGCCCTAGACAAGGCTATCCAGGGGCCCAGACCTGAGTGCTTCATGTTCTGAAACTCCCAAATTCTTTACTTACTCTATTGGTCTAGGGTTTAGGGTTCCCAGATTCTGTAATTGCTCTATGGGTCCGGGGAAGTTGTCGGTTGTTTTTGTATTGGAGGTTGCGAGGGTTTGGGTCCATGAGGGGCTTGGCATGCACAGAATAGGACGGATGCCAGTGACACGAACTGCTGATTTTGCTGGTTATGGGATCTTCAGCACATCGCATGGATGTTTGATTGGCTTAGTTTAGTGTTTAGTTCTTCAGCTTGTCAAAACCCTCCGAATCGAAAAAAGCTTGGAATATTCGCAGTAGCACTAGTACTTGTAGTCGGAAGACGATTAACAGTGAAATATGTTCAGTAACAATCATACACCCCAAGTCCTTGTCTGTACCAAGAGCCAGTTGGTCCAGTGAATTCCACATAATGACTGAGATGAATGAGTTTAGGTCAAGAAACCATTTGCAATCCCTGGGGCCTGACCCAATCCCTACGGTCGAGGGGAAAGGGTTTAGGGTTCAACCCTCACCTCTAACTTGGACACTGCCACATTGCTGATGCATATATATATATGTATGTATGTATATATATATATATATATATGTAATATCGCAATGACTGGTGACAATATGGCAGACTGTTTCTGTTTCGGGGGCAGTACCCTAGCTAAACCCCTTCACCCGAGGGTCCGAAACTACAAGTCCCAAAAATGAAGACAGGTACGTATAAGTGCTGAAACTACAGTCTCTCCTTGGGGACTATTTTTATTTTTGTTCATATTAAGCCCCAGAGAATGTTAACACTATTATTTTGATGATGGTTCTAATAAAGGGGGTATAGCAAATGCTAACCAACACTACATTGTCGTCCCCCGTTTTAAATTTTAGCCCAATCCTGTTCTAATCATTGAGGCTACAGAATCCTTATGGCAGATCCCTTATAGTAACCCCTTTCAAGGAACCGCTTGCAGGAACCCTATTCTTATTCTTAAGGCCCCTACACCGAACTGGAGCCCCAAAATCCCGAAACTTAAGCTTGACTCTGGTGGGTTTAGGGTTTAGGGTTCGGGATTCGGCAGAGCAGCCTCGCGACAAGAAATGCTAAGCTCGAAGACTCGAAGTATGCAACTACGTAGTACAAAGACGGCCCCTTAGGTTACCCCAAGCCCATGATTCGAACTGTCGTTGGGGTCTAAATCCATCATCGTAGAGTGTGTGTGTGTGTGTGAGGCCAATGGGGTACATAGATTGGGGTTTAATGTGTATCAATACTACCCACGTCAGGCTACTTCAACCTCAGGGAGATCAGAGTAAGTATATAGTTTTTGGATGCACGAACATAGTGCTTAGGCCTCTAGATGGCTTCTGATCGATTAAAGTCAGGATTGATGCGCCGTTATAGTGCCTGTCCGAGCCTTCAGCAGTAGCAGTGTGGCAAAACACGCCATTCCCCATGGTCACGGTGCTTTGAGAAACCTCAAAAGCGAAAATCCTTCAACATGACCAGCCTAAGTTAAGATACCCCTGCATTGAATGTGGGCCTAAGCCGGAAACCCATGAAGCCTGAACCGTCGTATAGCAGCCTGAAGAAGTAGAAATATACATATTCACGGCTCCTATCTACACCAATCTAAAAGATGCTTCGACCTTGTTCTAATCATCATGGCCCCTAAATTCGCCATCTGGTCAGGTGCCTGGTGGTCAGTACTCGAACATGTATGCGCAGTGCCGCTCTCTTGGTGGTGAGAACTGGGACAAGGCTAGCAGTCTTAGGATTCCGGGTTGAGGGTTGACGTCCCAAAGCGACGGAACTAGGTCCCGCAAGTTCAAGCACATATGCCCCCTGCAGGTGCTCCAGATGTATGCGGAAGTCAACATGTGGTGCGGTGACATTGTAAAGGTCACTCCTTCGTCGAAGGCTGTGGGCGACATTGCGCTCTTCCTGGTGAAGCATGGAATTGAGCCGTCCGATCCTTGAAGTGTTGAGTTGCAGTGTACCTCATTCTTAGTCTTGCAATTACGATAGCTGTTATTAGTATTATCATCATTCTTATCGTTATAACTGGGATTTAACTACTAGTTTTGTTATTGTTGCTATGCTTGTTAATATTGCTGCCATTGTTATAACTCGAAACCACAATCCAGCGCGCTAGCTCAGGGTTCCGGTCCTTCTAATCAGCATCTTGCTGATCGGGAGTTGACAACAAAGGTTTAGGGTTTAGGGGTTTAGGGTTCAGCGTTTACAATACCGCATTTCCGACCAAGGACCTGAAGTATGTGGGTCTGAGCAAGTAGTATCAATATCCGCTGCTGGTACAACAGATTGAAAACTCTATGCCGATTATTTCGACACCTACAGTATGCTATCACTTATAACAGCTCCTGTAGCTCCTTTGCACTGCTGTTGCTGGTTCAGCATGCGAGGGGAACCCTCGACTGAGCCTTTTTGTACGGACTTTCCCAAGCTTTTGAAAGGGGTTGCTTTTGAGCTGTTTGAGTTGTTCGGCGCGCTCTGAAAGTGTAGGCTCCAGTGTAAATCCTAAACCCTGAACCCTGCAGCACCTTGATATCATCCGGAAGATGACACATCCTTAATATATTGGCCGTATTAAGGAGCCCCAAACCCTACCCAAAGGGTCCTAGGTACTGTTATGGGGGATACTTCCCCAAATCATAATAGTAATTCCTAATATAGGAACCCTACATTCTACCATAAAGGTACTTTGGACCCTTTGGGCTATTCTATTTATTATAAGGCCCCTATATTACAAGTTCCCAGGACTTCGACAACATCCCGAAGATGCAGGCCCTGCATTGGCCGCAGAGTGCCATTGAGCTTGCTCGAGGTGACGTTCGGGACACGGCAACGTAGGGACATGTGGGTGGGTTCTTTCAGAGAGTTCGAGACGTATTATATAGGGGTCCTTCTCGTCAAGCCTTGTATTTATGTGTTTTTCGAGGATCCTTCGTTGCTTTTGTTTGATACTCCCTCATTTGGGAGTTTCCGAAATTTAGGGGTACCTTATTTTGGGCCCTTATAATAAGGATCCTACTTTTCAGGGTACCATATTTGGATCCCCTATTTTCGGAAACTCCCATTTGGACTCAGTTCCTATGGATTGGGGCTGCTGTGGACTGTAGGGATGCTTTGAGGCGAAGGACTCAGCACTGCGCGAGACCTGGCACCCAGAGATCCCAATACCCCTTAATGAAGGAATATATACTTTAAACTATAGGGGGCTTAATATTCCGATTTGAGGTATATTCCATAGTTCAGGGGTATTGGGTTCTCTGGGCACGATCTGCCAGGATCTTAATCGCAAGGTTACCTCTTTCGTGCTCGTGCTTGATGCTGACACTCGTGTTCTGTTACCATGCGCTCGGTACTCAGGTTTCGCTGAATGGAGATTCATCATGCTTCTGGCAGTCTGCATTCGCAAAACATATCAGCATATCTGAAGCCCGGGGCTTCTTCCACGCGTGGAGCCACACAAGAACAAAGTAAGAGCCAGCCCTGTTTCCCCGTAGGACGCCCAAAACAGCCCTAACCGCCCCAAAGATTGTGGAGCTGTGTTATCCGAATCCCCAGAACCCCAAAAATCCTGAACCACACGCGACCCAAAGCCGAACCCAGAAGTTCGTAATATGACAGTACATCACTATATACTATACTGTAGACTATACTATACTCTACTTATTATATCATACTGTACCATATCATGACAAACCATGGAGGCGAGATGGGCACACCTCACTTCGGCTTTCCCAAGCGATTCTGGGCCCGTCTTGGAAAAGGGTTCAGGTTTAGGTGTTTTGGGTTTTAGGGTTTGGGGTTTAGGTTTAGGGGTTCACGTGGACGCTAGGAAGCCGATGGTTTTAGGGCTCCTTATGATTTCCGAATAAGTCCTGAACCAGGTCGGCAAAAGGGGTTCAGGTAGGGTTTGACGAGCTGTCTTGCACAGGACATTCATAGCGATTTCACAGCGAAACCTCCTTCCAGGACACCCCCGACTGCCCATGACATTGGGCGGTCTATACCCCATCACTAGTTCGTTTCCTGAACAGAGGGCAGCTGGCGAACGGAGATAGTATGGTATGAAAAATTGCGCAAGCCCTGCGAATTCGGAAGAGCCTCTGAACAAGTCCAGCTTGTGATGATAACTTAAACGCAGCTTCTCCATGAAGAAGCCCTAGCCACCCCAAACCATCGACCCGACAAAACGTGGATAGTGGGAGCTTCTTTACAAGTCTAAGTCTATGCTATTCGGATAAAAGGAGCGAAGCTCCCTACATCTAACCCTCCTAGAGCCTGAAATGAGTTCAATCGGGTGGTTCGCAAAAATTGAAGTCAAGTCCCTTCGAGGGTCCTTTTTTGATAAGGGTGCCGTACTATATTTGGGATTTGAAAAGGGGCCTTCATAACTTAGAGGACTACCGGTATGTGTTCCTTAACGCAAAGCCTTAAACCTAAGCCCATCTGAGCCTTCATAACTTCGAGAACCATCCAGATGTGTTTCTGAACCCTAAACCCCAAACCGTAAACCCACTTGAACCCTAAACCTCCAATGCAAAAGAAAGTAGCGCCCATAAACAAAAAAACCTTCAACGGGGCCTTAATTGAGAGAACTGCCCACACGTCATGTGCCAAATGTGTTTCTTATCAAGAGCCGAGGAATGCAAGCCGCCATCCTCAAGGGTCAGCTGAAGCCCATGGAAGGTAGGCCAGGCGACACCCTGGCACCAGAGGATTCTGGGCGGCTTTAAATAACTCGAAGCCCTAAGGGTCCAAAGGACCCAATAATTAGGGCTCCTTCAAAAGGTTCTATAAGGGGTTTAGAGGATTTTATAGGGTTTTTTAAGGGTCCAAAGGACCCAATAATATGTACCTGGGCTTAGGATAGTAGTTATGTAGGTTACTTTTTTGGAGGGTGGATCCTCAGGGAAGGCTCCTAGGTACTGCTATGGGTGATACTTCCCCACATCATAAAAGTAACTCCTGCTATAGAGACCCTTCACTCTACTGTATTAAGGTACTTAGGACCCTGGGGCAAGAAGCTAATAGAGGGAGCCTGACAGCCCTCAGGCTCCCTGTACCTACATGGTATATACTTGGGCCTTAAAAAATTATGTACATTATCGCCGTTAGGGCATAAGTATGTACTACGTTACGAGTACATGGACCCTAAAGGAAAGGGTCCAGGGGATTAGAGTTTTTAGAGGTCGGAAACAAGAGGCCAGTATAGAGGCCTTAAGAAGTAGCTGGGCTCTGCGGTACAATATACTCTAGTGAAAACTTAGGCCACTATATTGGTAGAGTAGTGAACATTGGTCGAGCATGCCAGTTTTCAATGCTTCGGGGAGACAGTGCAACTACGTTTCCATGGGGTGCAAGATTTATGAACGATGTATCATGTGCCTCCAGACGCAACAGCCCAGGATTTTGAGAAGGTAAAGGAAGACATGCGCAAGGAGTTTGGCGTGGAGACGACCAGCGACTTCGTTGAATGAGAGTCTTTCACCTGCTGCATTGAGGGGGCCCATAACGACCCACTGCAAGCCCTAAAATGAGAGCCATTCTATCCCATGGGAAGCGCAGCACATCAGGTGAAGACCTGAACGCGTTCTTGATGTACCCCGGCGTTTTCAGGGATTACAAGAAGCACCTGGCGAAAGCAGGGCCCCTCGCGACGTGCCTGCCGACCCCAGCTTTCTTTTACGGTCTCCATGCGAATGAGACCATTGAGTTCGAAGTCCCAGGAGCCAACATCATAGAAGCCGAGGAAAAGGACGATGCTTCTCTTCCGAGGAACAAGGCCAGCATCCAGCTCACGCGAGTGGGCCCGCTGGAGCACGACATCAGGACTTGCGAGTGGCTCGTGGATGGAGTCACGTACCAGGTCTCCATCAAGGATCCGCCGAAGACCGGGTCCTACACAGGTCCCATGGCAGACCTGTCCAACAAAACCCACGTTGCATGCCCACTACCGGGAATCATCGGCTCCGCCGTCAAGGAGGGGGACGAGCTGAAAAAGGACGACGTCCTCTTCACCATAGTGGCCATGAAGATGGAGGTCGTTGTCAGAGCTCCAGCACCATGCACCGTGGTGGAGCTCTGCGTGCACAAGGATTCAGAGGTGGTGGATGGAGCATTACTAGCCAAGCTCGAACTGGATGAGGACCCACTCTGTGCAGGAGGTTAAGTAATTAGTAGCGGCGTCTCATTCTGTAGTGCTGGATTCATATCCCTTAAGGAACCGCAAGGGTTCAAGTACCTATAACAGTCATACCTTCACCTTCATAACTACTACTACTATCCTAAACCCAAGTGCCTTATTATTGGGTCCTCTGGACCCTTGGGGCAAGCTGAAAGCAGCTCCCCATCAAGGCGTACTCCCGGCCTGCCTGCCTTTTTGGTCTTGCACAAAAGGTGGCAGAATTTCAACAGGCGCAAGGCCGACTCTGTATATTCCTATACAGGTACGCAAGACCCTTTCGCAAGAACAAGTTCAGGAAACACCGTCAAAAAAAGCTGCGGAACCCAGGTCGCATGTGTTTTGCAGCATTCACCTCTCCCCCCCGACAGCCCAATGACCTCATCATCGTAGACTTGGGGGGTGGAGGGGCGGGGAAAGCGTAATTATCTTAGTGTCAGAATGGCATGGTTTCTACAAGTTCCTGCTTCGGAAGGTAGTCTAAACCCTCAACCCTGCCAGTTTCAACCTTCAGTCGTAAACTTTATCATGGAGCTGCGAACTGGATCAGGACAAGTGCGTGTCGGATCGATCGCGATCACCGCCACGATCGAGAACGGCCGGATAGAGTGTTTAAGTGTCGGCTGGGAGTTTAGATTAGTAGATTATGCCCGCTGTAACTGTGTATACTGGTCTGTAATGACAGGCCCGGCTCTTTCGTGTTCGCCTGAATTATTAAGAGGGGACAGCTAGGCTGTTCCACTCTGTATTCACAGGCTGTGAGAATATGTGGGGGTTGTTCTCGACTGTGGTTCTAGCTAAAATACCAATCCCGAATACCCTAGTGCCCTACAACACATCAGCTTATTATAGCCATGAGGGCATTGCACGGACAGCGCGAAAAACCCTTAATCACGAAGCTCAAGAAAGCGATGCGGAGCAATCCAGACAGAACGACTCCCATGTAATTATTACGGAATGTTTGATGTTCCAATCCATCTTTACCCTGACTCTTTGACGCGCCAGCGCATGCTTTGCCACCGAGCTTCGGCAGAGAGACAAAGCATGTATCAGTCCATCTCTTTGCTTACATAAAGCCTAGGCAGAAGCATGCAAAATATACAACTTTATTAATTCTTTCGTTCATGCATTCAATCATTGTCTAATTTTGCTTGGTTCATTCATTCCTTATGTGTGTGTTTGCGCGTGCTCCGCATGCATGCTCACTTATGTGTGTGCATACATCTATATATATATATATATATATATATATATATAGGCAGACATATCATATGAAATTACATGTATAACTATGTGTATGTTTTTGTCTATATGTACATTATATAAGTATGAGTATACACACACACACATATCTCTCTCTGTATCTATATACATATCTATATATATATATATGTGTGTGTGTACAGCATATACTTGTAATATAATTACCCAAAGGGTCCAAAGTACCTTTATGGTAGAATGTAGGGTTCTTGTAGTAGGAATTACGATTATGATTTGGGGAAGTATCCACCATAGCAGTACTTTGGACCCTTTGGGTTATGTACATATGTATCTGTATAGAGAGATAGATATAGATATGTAAATGCCTGTTGGCAATGTACATCCGGACAGACGGACACACACAGTCAGACGGACAAACACGCCTTGTGTACTCCCCATAAGTGTCGATACCTGTTTGGGCACATGTGCTTTATTCTCTGCCCTCATATGGCTAGCATACAAAAATGGCGTTGTGTCTTTACTACATGCGTTTATGATTGCTATATAGTTTGTGCGCATGTGTATCATATCATACCTCTACATATGTACGTATATATATATATATATATATATATGTATGTATGTACATTTCAAGGACATGGAAGTTGCAGACTTGCTGTCTCTACTACAGATCGATCCTCGTTTGTGTCAGTGTATGGTTCTTTCAGACAACAGCAAGTAGTGTTTGTAGTAAATGCCAAAGACCTCGCCGGCCAGCACAGCCACGAACTCTTTGTTATTTCAACGCGGAGACGACTTCTTTACGGAGCCATGTAAACGCATAACTGACTAAGACGGCTCCTGCAGCTCTTATCACGGACGGCCTGTTTTGTTACAATTTCCAGTGTTGTAGTTTGAGGCTTTGATGGCTGCTAGCGCTTCACTCAGGTTCCAGCTGGTGGTCGTGAGTAACGAGGACGACCTGAGCTTGCGGCTCGTCGTGCTACGAATGTTCTAGCTGGTCTCGATAGGAAGCTTAGGATGCAAGGTTGAGGGATGTTTCGGTGGACGTTTTGGATTCAGTGTTTCAGGTTTCAGGATTTAAGGATTCTAGGCTTTAGGTAATGAGTCACACTTGCCTGGATAGTCGTCCTTGCCAGCCCAAGCTTCTCAGACTATAGCAAGTTTAGGGTATAGGGTTTGGTGTGTAGGCTTGGGTTTAGGATTTGTTTGTAGGCTTTCGAACAGCCTTCTGGTACTCTTCCTAGTGAATTTGAAACGCACCCCTGGTCGTCCCCTTGAGAAGGGCCGTTGTAGTAAAGGAACCCTTATGGCATAGTAGCTGAGTAGGTAAACTTTAACCTTCCGGGGTTTATATAACCCTACCATAACTGAAAAGCCCAAAGGGCCCAAAGTACCTATATGGTAGAATGTAGGGTTTCTATATTAGGAATTACTGTTATGATTTGGGGAGGTATTCCCCATAACAGTACCTAGGACCCTTTGGGAAGGTTAACTGTTAGGGGGCTAGTGTACTCAGCCCCTCAGGTGGACTTGTCGCATCCCTTGAAACAAGCCACTCTCGTACCCTCCACTTCCCGATGCTCCGAGGTCGAGTCTTCAGTGTGGCTGTGGCTCTTGACCGCCCGTATGCGATAGCGATTGAAAATCTGCCCAGAGCATCCTTGTAGGAGGGATTCTCTGAGGGTTTTAAACCCCCTGAACCATTAAAGGCCAACTTAAGAACTATGATGGTTGTATAATTTTCTGAGGGTTTTAAACATATGAACCCGTACGACCTTAGGGATCATGATGGTTGTCAGTATAATTATCTTGACTACTCGGTCTTAAACGGGGCTGGATTAGAGTGGTTGTATAATCTTGACTACTCGGTCTTAAACGGGGCTCTTTCTGACGCAGTCCTTTTAGTGAGCCACGGTTTGGGATAACCGCCCGCGATCACAGGTATAGCCCTGCGATTTCTGGTTAAGTTTAGTGTTTGAGTTTTGTATAAGGGTATAATGATCATTTATTTATCCTGACTGTAGTGCCTAAAGGGTTTAGGCGTTTAGGGTGACGCAAATTTGGGCTTCGGACCCAGCAGTGGTAAAACCCAGACTTCCTGTTGAGATGTTTTGCAAACCTAGTGGTTGTGCAGGATCCAGGGATTTCTTTCGGGATTGTCCCCCTGCCAGTGCTGAATGGTACGGAGGGACATCAGGAATTGCTGGTTCCGGTATAATGCTAAACCGCATACACCCAAATCCCTTTCCCACAGGGTCCAAAGTACCAGTATAGTAGAATGTAGGGTTTCTATATTCGGAATTACTATTTTGATTTGGGGAAGTATCCCCTGCGACAGAACTTTGGACCCTTTGGGTTTGCATCGGGTGAAGCCGAGGAGTTCGGATTTCAGGCTGTGACTATAGGTTGCGGGTGTTGATCGTTGATGGTGGAAACCCAACTCCAACCAGAGACAGTATCCCGAACTGTTGGCCCGAACTAGACCCCCCAACTACCCTCGAACATAAACCAAATACCCACTGTCAAGGGTCGTAAGGGCCTTGTTAAAAGGCCCTGTAAGGGGTCCTGGCAAGGTTTAAGACTTACTTGGAGGGTCGGGGGACTTTGTAAGTAGGCAATAAGTAGACTCATAAGTACCACAGGGGTCCTAAATGGGGTTATGATACTTATGAGTCTATGAGGTTACTAGTTACTATAAGTCCCCCGACTCTCCAAGTAGGGTTTAAGGGAAACTGCTCTCCACGTGGAGGCATCCTGAGATGCAGCCGCCCAGGTGGGGCCGGACAGGGAGTCACTTATCCCCGCGCTATATGAGATCATAGGATGTTATATTAGATTATAGTACATTACATCATACTTGTAGTAATGTATAAGAAAGTAGATTCATTACATGTATTTTCATGCTAGATGATATTGTTTGAGGAATTCCCTAAGAAGCCGACTAGCTCAAAGGAGGTATACATCTCCGGTGCTTGGTAAGCTGCGTGCATAGATGGATTCAGCTCCTGGAGTAGCATGTTCTAGAGCTTTGATGCTCTAGAACTCTAGGGAATGGGACTTTGGTAGGTCGGAGCCGTCGGCTCAGGATATTTCTCCGGGACATCAGACCCCAAGTTGCATGTGTAGTCAAGGTCTTAGTTATTTAGTACATGCCCAAACGGCTCTAAACCGCCGCAAACCCTAAGCCGTAGACATGTGACTTGCGCTGTCTAGCATTGGGGTTTCAGCTGTTCCTGTGGGGGGGCAAATCGTCGGCCAAAGGAGTGCCTAGGGTTTAAGGTTTAGGATTTAGGGATTCAGGGTTTAGAGGAATTCGCGCTGCCTGCTTTAGCAACCCTGAACCCTAGATTCCCGACCCCATACCCTAAATCGCCCAATTAAGCCCGTTCCTGCACGTATGCTCATCGCAAGAATTTCAAAGTAATTACGCATCCCCGGGACCTCCGCACAAGAATCCCGGGAAGGGGGCATTGAATTCCTTCTACATGATACTGCAATTAGGGTCAAACTTAAGGCTATGGCAAGCCAGAAAGCCCCAAACGCACGGCAGCTATCACGTCGAGTTTTGCTCAGCTTTGTTTTCGCTATTGAGGCTTGTAGATGAAGCCTCTCCACTATAGGAGCGTTAGTAATTGCCTATACTATTTTGGGGGCTCCTTATTATACTTACAGTATACTGGGCTCCAAAACCCTATTCTAATTATTAAGGCCCCTATATCCCTAATTCCCTTCTAGTATCCCTTATAGTAGCCGTCAAAGGAGCCGTTCAAAGGGAACCCTATTCTAATTATTAAGGCCCCGGAATTAGTTGTTCGTCACCGCAAACTGTGGCGTCCAGCCTCAGGCCAACTCCAGCTTCAGGCCGCGGCTGGTGTGGTTTAGTTTAGGGTTTAGGGTTTTCGGGTCTAGTAAAGGGCCTTCGTAAACTAGTGTAGGGCTTCGGGGTATTTCAACATCAGCATACGATGCCAAAACGATACTCCAGTTTTAAAGCGGAGGCCTAGGGAATGATACTGCGAAGTATTCTGGTCTCTTTAGGTCTCTGTCCAATGTCTCGCTGTTAAACCCCAGGGAGGGGAGTGAATGTTTTTTCGAGGCGCTGAAGCCTTGTGCGGCAACAGACTCGAGTGTTCCTCGTCCTCGTTTGCATGGTCCTTAGGGCTTAAGGCTTAAGGTCTTTCAGTTTGGGGCGTAGCAGCTGTCGCAAATTGTGCAAGAGTCAGCATCAGGCTTGCTTCTACTGAGATGCATCCATTGGCTTTGTTCCAACTGTAGGTGCGAGTGCATGCGTGGTTCGACGTCATATTTCTGCCGCCCCTACACCTGGCATATGCATTTGCCCGAAACTCCTACATGCATGAATGGCTTTCAGGCCTAAGTGAA